AGGAAGGAAGGAAGGAAGGAAGGAAGGAAGGAAGGAAGGAAGGAAGGAAGGAAGGAAGGAAGGAAGGAAGGAAGGAAGGAAGGAAGGAAGGAAGGAATCCCTGACCTCTTTCCCACCTCCCTCTGACCCCTGCACCCAATCAGCTGGTGCCAAGGATTTGAAGCCAACCCATCTTAAAGTTGCCCTAGAGATACAGATGGCACCCGCTCTCCTGCAGCTCCTTAAGACCTGGCTCTGTTCCCAGGCTTGGGATTAAGATACCCACAAGCTCCTGTTGCGTTTTTATCACGTTTTTATCATTTTTAATGGTATGATTGTTTTTGTCCAGGCTGCCCTGTCTTGGTGTATGTGTTTTTTAATTGTCTTTTAATTACTTTATGGATAGTATAAACCACCCAGAGTCCTCTGGAGTATGCGGCTATAATAAATTTAATAAATTACTAATAAATAAATAAATACCACCACCACTGTGCCTTATCAGAATGTGTCCTACCCTCCCTCCTCCCACAGCAGATAAGTGGCTATGCAAGGTATTCCCTGAATAGACAGAAGATTTCAGAAGTTCTGTCCCAAGCGATGACAAAGAAATCAATACATGGCAACAGGGAGAGACCGTCCTCTGCTGCGATGTGAAAGAAGTGTAATGTGGAGTACTTCCCCCTTCTAGAAAGAACCCGAGATCCCAACACTCAGTTTCCTAGATGGCAGCCAAGGATTTGTCAAGCAAACACCTGGGAAACGGCAAGGGAAAGGGGAAGTAAATGACAGATATATAACTGAGCTTGGGGAGATCTATTCTGCTAGAGGTCACTGGAAATGCAGTTCCCAGAATGTTAATAAAAATCATCCATCTGCATTTTCTCAGCAGTCGCTATCCATTCATCAGGAGCCTGACAGATGGATTATTGTTTTGTGATAGAATACAGCTACGCACAGCTTCTCTCCACCTCCCTCCACACACACACACACACATGCACACATACACACACAGAGTTTAAACTATATAATTATCCCCACAATAACAAGGTAGTTCTCCAAAACACTCCAAAGTACAACCTTCCCTTCAGTCATGCTGCGAATTGAAAAATGTATACAACGATCGAGCTATTAATTTAAAAAGGAGCTGGTTCAACATCCAGCCTTTCCATATTTCCTCTTTATCATTTATGCTAATTACCTCAGAAATTGTCTTAATTGCCTCCTCAGTGCCAACAACTCCTATGAGGTAAAGCAAACATACAAAATGCTGCAGGTACAAGCCAGATTAGACTTCTGAGCAAAGAGGAGGAACATTTTTGGGAGATAGATAATTTGGGCTCCATCGCTGATAACCATGTCTGCAGGATGTTGTAAGTACAGGTAGCCCCTGGGTTAAGAACACCTGGTTTACAGACAACCCATAGTTAAGAACGCAGCCTATTGTAGCAAAATTTGTACCAAAATTCATGTTAAATACACAATGATTCAAGTTAAATACACAATACTACTTATACAATATTATTCCGGCTTCCATACAAATTCAACTTAAGGACAGACCTTGGGAATAGAACATGTTCTTAAATTGGGGACTACCTGTTGCTACCTTATAATGGTCTGACAAAAGGTGTGGAATTGTGGTGTTTATGATGGGTGACTTCTAACACGGAAAAGAAATTCCAACAGTTCTGTGGATAAAACAGGCCCAAATAAAAGTACTTGTTACATAATGATGGTATAACATGCCTGGAAGCGGAACGAGTCGCTCTCTGTCTCAGCTCCAGAGTGCCTATACCAAATGACGCCTTCGTTGATGTCCTGCTGGGTGAAAGTGCTGGTTGGGGTAGCTACACTTTCACTGGTCAAAGACTGCCATCCTAGCCCAGAATCATCTGCAGGCATCGGAACCAGAAACACCACTTCTCCTAGGAAAGAGAGAAAAAGAGACTTTGAGGAGGTGATGGTTAGGAGTTTTCAAAATTTTGGTACTTTGATATATCACTAAAATTATGACCTTGAGAAGTGAAGGATCCTAATATTCAAGGGGCTGTTCCAACTTTGGGTCACTATTGCTTTGCCATAACAGAGTTTAAAAACTTCTGGTTCCAGCAGGGACTTTGGACAATAACTCCCAGTTCTGGTCTCTGTTGGGAAGCCCTTCCATTTGTGAATCCCCAACAACAGATTTTCCCAGATGAGAATGTTCTCTTCCAAAGAAGCCACCTTTCCCTTGTAGCATCCACCGTTAAAAGGTAGCTTTCAACTTGCATGAGTACTCCTTTGTTTCTCTATTTAGGTTTCTTTCTCACTATATTCCACTGCAACTCTCCCAGAAGAATCTGATGCTGTTTGGAAGATTTATAAAACCTGAATTTTATTAGAGACATTTGGACAACTCTCAACAGTCATTCGATCAAAATGGCAATCGTAGTGGGATTCGGTATTCATGTCACTGCCTACAGAAGTCCTCTGGGCTAGAATGGGATACAGTCATTCATGCCTATAATCTCTTTTGACACTGGAGTTACAGATTCTATTACCCTGACAGTTTGGATGCCACTGTCTTGTGTCTATGTCTGTGCTGTTGACAAATCAAATCCTGGAGGAGGCTAATATCTAACTGCTAAATTATTTAAAATCCATACATCTCAATTAAATAAACTCACACACCAAACTGATCTGGCACATAATTGATACCTCTTCCTCTTTATATGTCTCTCCAACTTTCAAACATTCCCGCAGCAGCCATTAAATTGTGCCGTGAGAATTAAAAGAAACTCCAAGTCTGACCAATAAATATTGAGGGCTGGTTCCCGGCTATTAGTTGGTCTCAATTCCTATTTGTGAAGCCCCAACAACAGAACCTCAAGTTACTGTCAAGAAATCTTGGAAACTGATGAAGCAAAATTCCCATCTTTGTTTATCAGTAGATTCAATAAGACGGGGTTTCTTGGAGTCGTCTGAACCTCTTTTTCCAAGAATGCGAAACTAAAGGGCTAACTGTCTTTATTCCAGATAAGCTGGGCATTGCAAGATCCATCTGCTCTTGTTAGTGACGTTTGGAAATATTCCCTTTTCTCAGTGAGTTTTCTTCTCAACTTTTCACACTGATTTGATGAGACCAAAATGCCACTAAATTAAGCTGGCTCTAACCTGAAGTACTTATTGCCATTTGCTATATTTTAATGGTATCATATCATATTACTAATTACTGATTACTAATTACTAATTCAGGAATTAAAGGCAACATACACCATGCTTCTACCAATTTTATCCTCAGAACATTACCATGAAAGCAAAGTTGGGCTTTTGAGTTTCCACTGACTGAGGCTGGATCTGAACCTGGGCTATTCCAATCCTAGTCCAATAACTCAACCCAAGGTAGATCTGGGGGATTCTGAGAGTTGCAGGCCCAACACCTTTGGAGGACATCAACTTTTGGAAGACTTCCCTAACCACTATATCCCACTCCCACCCAGTCTTGTAATAATTCTGTGAGGCAGATCAGAGTCTTTCAAGTGTAAAGATTTCATGTGTAAATAAAATCATGTACATACTGTATGTTGCACTTTGGAGAGGAGAGTCAAATTCAGCTAAAACTAGTGATGAAAAACTTGTGGCCCTCCAAATGTTGTTAAACTTCTATTCCCCATATTGTTTATTCACCATTGATCATGTTGGCTGAGGTTGCTAGGAGGGCTAGTTAAACAGCATCTGAAGAGTCAGGGTTTTCTACCCTAAAAGACAACTGCAAAGCAAGAAATTTGAACGACAGATTTCCCAATTAATATCTCAGTCTCTCTTTCATTCTCTTGTGCCATCTCACAGACCTGAAGAGCTATCACACAGGAGAAGACAAAGGCCTGTTCTCTGCTGCCACCAAGGTGAAGAACATCAGAACTCAAGACATAGGAGGTGGATTTTTGTTCATACATTAGGAAACACTTCCTGACTGTTAAAGCAGTTTAATCATGGAAACAACCCCTGGTGAGAAGCTGTCCCTTCCTGGAGATCTTTAATCAGAGACTGAAGAAACATATCTAGGTTGCTTTAATTACTATCTTCTAGCATGAACTCAAAAGTTAGTCTAGATGGTCCACAAGTCCCCAACTCTATGATTCAATATTCATTAGCATCCTTCTTGTTACACCAACAGTTATTCCTGATGGTTTATAGAGTAACTTTAAAAAGAGGCAGTCCCTTAGCCCAAGGTGCCTATAACAAGCATTTAAAGAAGTGAGATTATACTAAGATATGAATGTGAGTACGTGCAGTTCTGCCCAATTTAAGATCCATTGCCTTAACTGCAGGTGAGGATCAAAGGAACAGTGGATGTTTTTGGAATTGTGCAATTAAAAATAATAACCCAAGGAAGCTAGCTATTAGGCCTGGCTATTAAAAAGAGCTTTCTGAGGATGCCTGATATAAGAAAATGGTTCCCAGTTGTCCAATCTCTTGTCCATGTCAGCGCTTGCCTCTGGAACACGTGAAAAAAATAATCGGGGACAAGAAGTTACTGTCCGCAGAAATCCATGTGGGAAATGGGAAACAGAAATGAGGAACTTCTCCACTGCCTGTGCCATGCAACTGGTGCTATAGCATCCATGCTTAATCCAGAGCCTGTCTGCCCCCCTTTGCACACTGCAGCAGCCGTACAGCTCAGCTTCCCGCAGTGTTCTTGGCTTCTTTATAAGCAAAGAATGGTTCTTCTGGGAATGGCACATCACTCAGTCTTCATCCTCTTCCTTGACCGAGGCTGTTAAAATAGTCTGGGGACCAATCTTAGCATATTGTGGGGTCCCGGAGGCAACTGTTTCCTTTCTGGCACTGCTTTATGAGAATTTGCTGGTGCTATTTCCAGCAATTTGCTCATCTTTTACAATTAACTTCTTTAAAGCTGATTTGAGACTGATGATCTGTAAGCTATTCACAAGTTATCTTTGTCATTCCAACATCTGCCTTACAGAGGTGCAAAAGGCAGTTATTGGCTCTCTGTGGAAGGGTTCTGGTGCACAGAGAACTACAGCCGCCCATGCATTTACTTTTAAGAATACCTAAGGCATGGGTGTGCATGTCCTGGGGGTTCAAGAGTTGCATCGAGCTTTGTAGAACATGTCAAGGGTTGCAAAAGTGACTGGGGTGACCTCACTTTTACCCACTCTTTATTATCCTTTATTTTATGTAGAATAAAATTTATTCTTATTTATTATTTTTGTGGGGTTGGGTCACAACAAAATTTCCCCCAAATAAACTGAAGTTTTTTGTCATCACTAGAGGGAGCAAGAGCACTAGTGCTATATCTAGGGTTATAGCTCCCTCTACCGATAAAGAAAAGCACTGCAGACTTCAAAAAAATCTAAGAAGAAGTTAAGAAATAAGTCACCAGAGCAAGTGGTTGAACACGTAAGGCATTTTTTTCTCCCTTTAACCCACCTTCCTAAACAAACAAAACGGTCCAGAAATGTTGCACCCATCTGAAAGACTCTGGGGAGCCCAGAAAGCTACAGCTTTCACACCCTTGGTCTACTGAATCTGTGTGGGTCCAGTGATATTCTCATTAATAAAAATGATCCAGGAGGGTTCCACTTTGCTTTGCTGCATGCCAACTTTCAATTTACCTTTAATTGGATTCCTTTAATTAAAGGAATCTTAAAAAAAAAGTTAGATGGGACAGGCTGGCACCAAAAGAGGTATCCATTGACAACCTTCTGCCTAGACTCAGCATCTGGAAATGCCCAAATTAAACCATCCTAGAATATATCACATTTTTAGGATTCCCTCCAAGTCTATACTTGATTCCTCCAAATGAGGTTAATTTTGGTTCTTCCCTAGAGACTTTCAGATGTGTCAGACTCTAAGTGCCATTATGATGGCTGAGGATTATGGAGGTTGTACGGCCAAATATATGTACAGTACTAGTTAGGAAAGGTTACTCTGTTCGATCATAAAGTTTCCAGACTGACCTTGGGCCAATTCTACTTTACAGAATTGTTAATAGACTGTGAGTCAACAGAGTGGTCCACCCCACACCACTTATGGTTTCTGGTGGGTGCTTGGAGGCTTTCCAAGTGATTTTGCAGACAATTCTGTTGAGCACCTGGTTGGCCGCTGGCAACAGGAGATGACTCAGGCACTTGGTGGGATTGACTCCAAGAGGCCTTTCTCAGTTGGCTGTTCTTAGATGATACCCAAGTCTATTGAGGACTTCCAAGAGACATGGCAGAAGGAACAGTAGGGAACCTTCTAGAGGAAGATGATTTAAGTCTACGTGGTGATGAGAAGCAAAGTGTTGTTACTCTGTTATTGCATTGGCAGACTATTAGTCCATAAACTTGTCATCCATTAGTTTGTGGTACAGCATCATCAATATTATTTTTTTAAAATATAATTTTATTGAAAGTTTTAAAAACAAGAATAAAAATTAATACTAAAATAAAATAAGAAGGAAAAAGAAAAAGAAAGAAGTGTAAGAGAAAGCTGAAGTGCAAAAAGAAAAAAAGGTAGAAGAAAAATAGAAAAGAAAGAAAAAAGATATAAAGAAGTGGCTTCTGATCTTCTTTACAGTACTTGTAAGTACAATTGTAGATTTACCTCTTTTTTCAAAGTTACATTGTGACTCTCTTCTTTCTATAATCTATCCTATCTATCTGTCAAAACCATAGACCTTAAATTCATTTTTTCTGTTTTACGCAAAAAGTCCATAAGGGGTTTCCAGTCAGCAATAAACATAGATATTGTCTAGCATGATCAATGTTCTGATGATAATCAATTGTACATCACTACCCAGGCTGCACAGGAGTTGCTATCAATGTTTTGATCCTGAGGCTGTGAAGGTCTGGATGAGATGAAACAGGCTGAAATTGAACCCAAGCAAGATGGAGTTATTCTTTGACATCTCTAGTGTTGTCCCTTCAGGTTAACAATGCCTCTGGAAGAGCAGATGTGCAACTTGGGGGTCCTCTTCAACTCATGGCTACTGTGTGATGGGCAAGTGAAGACCATGGCCAGGGGCATCTTTGCCCAGCTTCAGCTGATGTGCCAGCTACAGCCTTACCTGGAGTAAAAAACCTTCCAATGGTAACTCATGCCCTTATTACCACTTACTTGGACTACTGCAATGCACTCTACATGGTTGTCTTTGAAGACTACCCAGAAGCTTCAACTGGTCCAGAACACAGCAGCTAGTTTTGGCAGGTACAGACCAACATGAGCATGATCTGGGGCCTGTACTAGCATCCTATATATGGAGTTCAATTCAAAGTGCTGATTTTAATTTTAATTAAATTAAAATGTCCTAATGACTTAATTGTCCTTGTCTAAAGAACTCCAAATATATTTTGAGTGTTGGGGGAGACTGAAAATGAGAGAAATGGATATAGAAGATTACGCAGAAACATTTCTGCTTTTGTGCTTCCCTAATATTGATTTATTTTTAGGTCTAGAAAGTCTGTATTGTACAAATCTATAAATTTCTGGTAACTTCCAAGATGAGGGGAGTGACATTACCTATTTTCTCCCATCCTGAAGGAATAATTTCTTGTTTTGTCATCAGTTAGATGCTGCAAAGATCATTGGAAAGATATAAGCTGAGAAATTATATCTTCAGAAAGAAGAAAAGGTGCAAGTAAATAAGAACCCTCTGAGGATAAAATATTTTGTCATTTACACTAATCTTTCTGACACAAACTGATAAGCAGAGAGACCACTACCACCACCCCCTCTCGACAGTACAGAAGCGATTTCAACAACACCCTTTTTAAAGCTCCGCTCTCTGTAAACTCTGCATACAAAAAGTCTTTTATTAGCTACTAACAAATATACATCAAATAGCAAAGTTGTTAGCCTGTGTGGAATACCATTACATCTATTGCTTAAGTTTCTAGGCCTTTTCCTGGGAACTGTAAAGTCTGGTCACGTAGTGTTAGTTTATTTTTCTTAAATCTGGAAGACTTCTTCATGATTTAAATGAAAAACGTGCACTCCCTGCAGTAAGAAATGTTCCTTCCAAAGGCACACAGTGATGCAACTGCGTATGTCTGTCTGTCTGTATGTAGGAACTTTCCACAATTATAATTATAGACAATATAGTCATTTCAGATTACATTTCTATAATCTATTATGGACTCTCAGCAGTTTACAGAATAGCAACCTATTCTCAAATCCAGCTTGAGGCTGTCATAAGGATGGGCTTGAAAAGATTTCCAAAATTCTCTACCAAATTTCTGGGCAGAGAAATTTGGGTGGATGATTTCTCTGACTCTCTCCAAGGGAAGGTGAAACATTCCCCCAGAGATTCATGTGGCTCCAACCCTAATGACTTTCAGAAACTCATTAAAAACTTGGTTGTTCTCCCAGGCCATCCTTCCAGGGTGGTTACAGAGTCCCCATGGTTTTGGTTTTTTATTGGTAGACTGTTGTCTTCTGCCTAGTTGTCTGTCTGTCTATCAACTATTTATCTATCCTTTCTTTCAGCTGTAAATTGCCCAGGGTCATTAAGGAGTTGGGCAGCCCCAAAATTCAATTAAATAAATATATGTATGTTCCTTCCTCACATTTAATAAAAATTAGCAAAAAAAAAAAAAGCGGGGGGGGAGGATTTCTCTGCTCCACCAGAGCACCAAAAGGCAAATCTTGAACTGACCATGAAAACCTTTGTAGGATGGCCTTGTGCAGAATTTGGTCACACAGCATCTATAATTCCAGAAAGAGCACCCATAAACTCTCCAAATTACATTATTATTTTTCAAAAATTATATAACTGAAATATTGCAATTGATCTCATGAGATTGACATTTTTATACAGGGCCTCAAGATGATGCCACCAGAATCTCACGAGTTTTAGCAACCTTGTGAGATTTTGAAAAGTTGGGAGTGGGAGATCTGTAGCTTAATAAAGCTGACAGCTTCTGATGACATATGATACAATAAGATGGAAAAGTTATGGTACAATGGCATCTTTCTCTTATGGATAGGACTGAGTGGCATACAGTTTGAGATGGATGGTTCAATGTAACTCACTCATTTAATTATCTACCTCTTCATTTTTTACCTATTAAGGATGTACATATCTATCACCAGGCCTTCAAAGAGCTTAATATAGGAGCAAGGTTCTCTTGCCCTTCACTGTATTCTTAGAACAAGTTTGGGAGGCAAGGTGAGTGAGATCTAGTTCATATCCACCTAATGAGCAACTGCTACATCACACTAGGTCTCAGGCAAGGCGAGAAAAAAGTTCAATTCTTCTCAGCATTACATGAGCCAAACCAAATGAAATAGCAGCTAGATATGCTTACTCCTCAGTCACAGAGAAGAAAAAAGGCGTGTTGTGTCCTTACATAAATGACAACTACATAATCTTCCTCCACAACTGTGTTCCCATTATGCTTCTAATCAGGCATCAGCCCCAGAAGTGACCTGTATTTGGTTTTGCCATGGCTCTAATTCTTCTGCCAGATCTCTCCAAAGTTTAGGGTTCAAAGTTTCATGGATCCACACTTTGTGACATGCTGGGAGTTATGCTTGAGAAAGGCATGGGCCAGAACCAGGTATGAAAGAGGACCTGACGCTCACCAAATGTGATTTAACACACAATTGAATCAAATTTAAATTACATTAGTTGTTCAATGAAGATGAATGCTTCCTTGTATTTAATGATTTCTCTTTTCTGTCGCTTCAAAAATTATAGTTACATGGCAATTTAGGGATGGGTTCTTTGGGCCATAGTGAAGGCCTTGGAGACCCACATGTGGCCCAGTTTAGACAACCTAACATTCAATTGGTGAAGGAATATGCAGGACAATCCTGAAGAACTAACAGAAATCTAATACAGTTAATGAACATGTCTGCACATCCAGAAGTTGTCACCTAATTTTGGCTAAAACAAAACTTGAGACAAATGAGGGTAGCTTTTGCTCCAGTACAAACAGCTCTAGGAATTGCAAGCCAAGGAAGCTGAATGTTCATAAAATCAGTACCATTTCTCAAGAGGTTTCATCCATCCCTACTTACCATATTGTGGCTTGTCCCTAATTGTATAGATGATTGCAGAATCACTGGCCCCAAGCATCTCAGCTTGCAGAATTTTGTTAGTGATTTGCAGCATCCCCCCTTCTGGGACCCAGACTGTGGAGCTGATAACCAGGCGGGGAATCCCACTGCTCTGCAAAGAGGACCGAAAATGCCCAAAGTCATTAAATGAAGCGATGAACAAGAGGCAAAGTTTGAAGATAAGAATAGCCTAAGCCTTTGAATACTCATCTAACAGTAGATCTTAAAACAATGGACCAAATGAATCTTAGGAAAAAATTTCCAATGGTATGACAATTTATAGTGACCCAAAGACTAATTGAATGATCCAACAAAGATATCAACAGGGGCTTTATTTCACTGAGCAAGTGACTGGATTTGAGGCTTGGCCTTCATGGCCTCTTCTAATTCTCAGTTTCTGTGAACTGCTCCTTATTCCCAATTATTCTTTTCCACCCTCTGTAAACTAAAGGATTTTTCATTTAAGCTAAGTATCTAATTTTTATCAAATGAACTGTTAACATTTAATATATTTCAGCCCATGAGTGATACCTTGTATTTTAACCTTCACATCAGTTTACACTTTTAGAAGGGAAGCACCTTTTCAATACTAGGGTTTGTGCCAAATTTGGGGCCATGGATTTTATTGGAAACCAAATATCTCCAACAATGAGCTATTTCCATCCCATTATTACTATGGAGAATCCACATTTTCAAAGACATTTTGACATTAATTTCAAAAGGAGTACTCTTTGATCTAAAGTATTATTTGACCGTAACTCCATATGACCTACACCTGCATTTATTTTTTTCTCCCAGTGTTAATCATCATTCAATTATCATTTAAGTATATAATGTATAATTTACACTATATTTATACAGTATATATAATTAATATCCAGGAACATAAGGAGCTTCTAAACTAATTTCCCTCCAGTCATTTTCCATTCAAAAACTCACTTTCCTGTTCCACTTTTCCCCACCTGGGAAAAACATCCAAGACACACTGAAAAACTAGTGAAAAAATAACCAGATGGAAAATATTAATTAGGACCAGGCTTCCTTCTTTCTCCCTCCTTTTTTACTCCTAAAGCTGTTTTTGAATTTTTAAAAGTTGGGGAAAGTTTAAAGCTCAGACATGCATTCTTTTGAGGTCATGGTTACATATGCAATTTTGAGAGTAGATGCTCTCCCAAACGGGTTGCCAAAGGAAGATGGGCTTATCTATTCATAAGATGGTTGCCAGGGGTGTCATGTTGCACATAACATCCAGGTGGACCTTTGATTGTACCATCACACCCACCATCTTGACTTTTTTTTGACTATGCCTTGTGGATACCCCTGTTGGGGAGGTTGCGGTCCATCAAGATGCTTCCTGTGTAACTACCAGTTTCCTTTGGATATATTTCAAAACAAACCCTGCGGGTTTTCAGTTTTCTAAATCTGCCTGTCAGGTCCCTGTGAGTCCCGGAAGCATCCCTGATGATGCTGGAGGCCAGTGCTTGGCTATGTGGCATACCAGCTTCTTTATTAATTATTATTTTTTCCTTAAAAGAATCTAAAATAGAAAAGACTGAAGTCTTGTAGAGCATGGAGCAAGGAGGCACGATGTGGTCTGGTTTACATAGCATGGATAATCATTACAAAGAAGGCTGTTGAAGTTTCACCCTAAAATTTATGTTGCCTCTAGCTTTGGGTCCTTACTGGAAAAAAAATATGCTCCCACCCCACCCATATCTAAAAATATGGGAAAGAGAGGACAGGTGGGTGCTTGGGAAGGTCAAAGTTCACTGGCACTTTCTGAGAACTTCAGGGAATATGTCTGCTGGGATTGTGGGTGACCATGGCAGGCTGAGCTCCTTCCTTGCCCCTCTTCTCTACCTGACTGATTTCTTTTCTAGGTCTTATATGCTACTCCAGTCCAGAGACCTTCCCTCTTCCCACTATGTGCCAGCTGTAGCAAGGAAGTCCTGGTTTGAGCAAAGGGCTACAACCAAATTAGGGAATTTCAGGAAATCTCTGTGCCACAGCCATCAGGCCGACCAAGAGGGAAGGGACAAGCCAGGATGCATGGCTATAATGTTCATCATTTTGTACATCATGGTCTAATGTACTCAAAAATCTAGTCCAGCCATTGTTCAAAATATGACTCATTTGGTTTGGGGTCAGCACACAGGGTCAACCCAGCAAACTAAGCCTCAGGTTCCAATCCTTATTTGTGTTTATTTCGGTGATATATTTGTGAACTGCCCTTGATGAAGCACCAAAAAGGAGGGGGCCTCAAAGCAAGATCCACCTGCCAGGCAGAATACCCCGGAAGTTGAGCATCCATGTTCCACCCATACCCAGAGCACCACTAGTCTTCAAAGATCTAACTCAATTGGATGCAGGAGATCATAAGAAGATACCACTTCCTATGCAACATTCAACATGCAACATCCAAGAGCTAATCAGCTCTTGGATTTGCTGGAGATATGGTTCAAGAAATAAGAATACCATCTTGGGTCTTTAGAGTACTGCAGTCATTTTCAAAGGCCGCTCCATATCCTATCATGCCTGTCTCAAAGATCCAAAGCTGCTGGCTTGGAGCTTAATTCTGTATTTTAAGGCTTATTCAATCAGTTAAGCAAACTCTGGCTTAGTTGTGGACCCAGTCAAGTGGTCCATGAGATTTCCCAACATCTGGGTAGTCCATTATTAAAGGCAACCAGAGCAAAGAGGCTATTTTAACCTACAATAAGTGTTCTGCAAAACACGGATGCAGATTAAATCCATTAAACCCCTGTCCCTGATCATGATTATTATAATTAATTTTTACTGTGCTTTTAATTGCTAGAGAATCCTAACAACCTCACTGGGAACATTTCTGGATGTTCTTTAAGGGTTGGGATGGCAGGTCAATGAGCTCATTAAAGTATGTTGTTTTACTCCATAGAAAATAGGGAATCTGTTGAGAAACTGGTTGTGCTTAAAAGTAACGCTGTACAATCACTTCACACTAAGTGGACCCTCTGAAAAGATGAGCATTACCTTACTGAATTAAGAAGGAAATCAGAGAGATTTGAGATGTTTTGAATAATCAAGGAATATCCCAATGTCTATGCATCTTTTTAAAAGAGAATGCCCTACTTTTCACAATATTTTTCTAGTATACTTATCTAGAGCTCATTGTCTGAAAGGATCACAGCCCCTATTTTTTCAATATCTGTCTGTGATCAAACATGGACCCTGTTAACCCTTTTTCAATATATTTTTGGGGTGCTTGGAAACAAAGTTGTTAGAGTTGGTCCATTTTAAGGTTCAGCCCTGCTCCTTTCTCAGTTCTTAGGAACTAAAATTCCCCTGACAGCGTCACTTTCCTCTATGGCTGGAAAACAATACCTCTCTGCAATGAACTTGCAAGATCAGCAACAATTAAAAAACGATGAAATAAAAATGAATGGGCTACTCAAATCAGTTATTCAGCAGTCTAGACATAAGAGATGAGCTTCCATTTATTTTTCATTTGCTTACATCTCCATTATGTCTTCTAGGTGGGCAGGGATACCGACAAAGTATGGTCAGAAAGTAGTCACCATGCCGCGATCAAAGCTCCACTCCATTATGTGTGATGCACATAAGAAACAGCAGAGCTTCATCCACACTATTGTGGCTACCATCTTGACTTTTTTGACCAGGCTGTGGACACCACTTAAGGTGGACAAATTTTCCATCAGGTGAGTCTTGCATGAGACAAAAGAGTCTGAAGTGGTGAAACCCAGACAGATGTGGCTTCAGTGTCCCTCCACTTCTTTCAAAAGTTCAATAAATACACATTTGGAAAATATGGGATTACATTGACTATTCTTGTTCCTGGTCTGCATAGTTTAGGGTTGGGCATTGTAATTTAAGGCCAACTGGAATGCCACACCCTCTGCTCACCAACTTAAGAGCATCCATTTGGATATGCCTAGATCTTCTCTCCTAGTTGCATGATTTTTTTTATTTCTGAATAATCTCAGGCAAATTAGACCAAATTAGATCAACCTTCTGAAAGGTGCCAGGTTGCAGAAAGCTGAGCTAGAACTTCCCAAATGATCTCAAATCACATCTTGACAAAAGAACTTTATCAAACAATAAACCTAACTGCTCTGGCTGGATTCATATATCACATTAAGTCATGGTTTGACATAAACATGGTTTACTGGACAAGCCAGAATGATTGAGGCCAGACATCATGCTAAGCCATCAACTGTGTCATACAGAGCAACAGTTGGGTTCAGACCACGTGCTAAACCAAAGACCAGCCCACATTATGTTTCAGCTACTTATGTACAACTTTGTTCCCCACCAAGTCCAAATTAACGCAGGTGAGCAGAGCGTGAAACACTTTATCATAAATAGCCCTTCCTCAATAATAGGAAGTAATACTGCTTTTGGAATGGAAATGCACTTTGCACAGGCTCAGGGGCACATTGACGTTTCATGCTTTTGGGGTGCCTAGGATTTCATTGTCTTCAGGGGAAAAAAACACCCTGTGGCTGCTGAAAGGCAACAGAACATTTAAAGGAAAAAATAAAAGTATAGTTTGCTAAATTTGTGGGTTTTTTCTTCAAAAACTGGTCTGCAGCTTTTGCAGCTGCCAGAGCACACCTACTTAGATTAAGCATTGTCTCCAATCTTTTGACCCTTTTTTGTTATTGCTTGGATGGCAGCAAGTTTAGTTGTGTGTGTGTGTGTGTGTGTGTAAAAGAATATGATTCTGTAATCTATTTTTGCTGCAGTTCTACAGATGTCATTCCAAAAGTAGACAAACTGCATAGCAATGGTTCCCTCATTCATTTTAATAAGTCTTTTTTTCATGGATTAAGGCTCTGTAAGGAAACAGCCTCCATCTAAAGTTACAGCAACATCTGAAAAGGCTTCTGGATAACAGAGAAGGTGGGAGATGGATGGATGGATGGATGGATGGA